AATGCAGGCGAGAGTGCGATTTGTCCGGTTCCGGCGCAACCCTCTGCAGAGATCGTGCGTGTCGAGTGGGCGAAAGGCAGGCGAGAGTGCGATTTGTCCGGTTCCGGCGCAACCCTCTGCGGAGATCGCGCGCGTCGAGTGTGCGAAACGTAGGCGAGAGTGCGATTTGTCCGGCACGTGCCGTGCAACCCTCTGCGGAGATCGCGTGCGTCAAGGCCGCGAAAGGCAGGCGAGAGTGCGATTTGTCCGGTATGCGTGCGACCCTCACGCGGAGATCGTGCAGGCGAGAGTGCGATTTGTTCGGTGCGCGCGCGACCCTCTGCGGAGATCGCGCCTTTCGAGTGTGCGGAACGCAGGCTGTCCCATGCGCGCGCAACCCTCTGCGGAGATCGCGCGTGTCGAGTGCGCGGAACGCAGGCGAGAGTGCGTTTCAGAGACTTGCCGCGTCACTTTTGGAGGAAGTCTCGTACGAAACGCTTGTTTTGGAGACTTGACGCTTCACTTTTGGTGGAAGTCTCGTGCGAAACGCTCGTTTTGGAGACTTTCCGCTTCACTTTTGGAGGAAGTCTCGTACGAAACGCTCGTTTTGAAGACTTTGGACTCAGACCTGGCCAGTTCGTAGTGCAATTGGTGTATGACAGATGGACACACTGGCCGCTAGGGCCAGATTGCGTCAGGCCTGGAGCTTTCCCTCCTGGACACGCTCCCTGACCTCAAGCTGTGCCATGTTTGGGAGGCCTGCGCGCTACTTACGTACTAGGGGCTCCTGGGCTTACTGCTAGGAGCCTACTTGGTTCGTGACATCGCGCAAACTGCGAAAGTTTGAGGCGTGGATGCAGCGCTACCCAGATGTCGGTGGACTTGCGAGAGGTCAAGAACTTGCAGAAAAAAGGTGTTCCTGCGCGTCAGAGAGACATATAGAGAGAGGCTCATACACACACAGACATAGATACACACACAGAGACCCACACACTGCCTCAACACACTAGACTTAACGCTTCACACTGAACACTTAACACACAACTCACACTCTAACTTCACACGTGGTGAAAAATGCTTTCGGGCCACTCGTCGTCTAGCTTGATTCTCTTAGATCAACATCGCCGGTCGTGGAGCCCCAGGCGGCCTTTCTCGACCATGGTTTCACCGTGCGCGTCCCAAAACCCTGCGCCCCCTTGAAATCAACATACATGAGAGCCACGCGCAAAACCAATTAGAGCCTGCCGCGCCTGCCCTTAAAAAGGGCAGGGCGGGGGGCGTTGGAAAGAAAGCCAAAGACAAGAAATCAAAGAAAGAGAGAAAAGGAAATAGCGCGCAGGGCAGGCACATTTTTGAGATGTTCTTCCAGCCTGGCGGAAGCATCCCTGGGGGAGGCTTAGAGATCTGGGAATGATCTCACGCTCTTTGTTTCAAGTATACCTTTTTTTGAGTTTGACAGTCGTGCGAAGGAAAAGGGGAACGACGGTTGGGGGGTGAGCCTTTATATATACGTGTAACTGCAATAATGTATATACACGGGCTATATGTATGTATATATATATATACAGGTATGATATACACGTGTACAATATATATATATATATATATACGCTGATGCTACTAGGAGACTCTGGCACTGCCTGCCGCCCAGATTCACCCGTACCATCTCACTTGTTTGATTTGAGCGCCTGCCAGAGCGGGCATGCTCGGTTTGGTTGAGGTTGGGAAGCGCAGCGCTGCAGATATTTTAGCAGCCTTCCGAAGCAGAGTGGACCGGCAGATAGTCAGAGCCCAAATCGCACAGGGCGCTTTGTTTGCAGCATGTTTATACCAATCAATCATATACCTCAACTTTTGATTCTTGACCCTTTTGAAGGCGGGTAGAAGTTGGGGCCACGATGGGTGTGGAGACGTGCAGGTTGTAGAAGTGTGTGTGTGTGTGTAACCCTTGGAGTCATAGGGATCCTTCCGGATTTGTTTTTTCACATTATGGCAGGGGGACCATCCATGTACTGTGCGCGATGGTCCAACGAAGCGGCCACAGTACATGCGGATATCACGGCTGATCACCGTGACGCACCTGCTTGTTTTGACCTGGAAATTCCCAATGGCCCCTGCTTTTAGCTACAACAAGTTTCTGGCCTTTGCACCGGTTCTTCATCCGCAGACTCTGCACGTTCCGTCGTCCTTGTCGCTCGATCGTTTCGCGGTTACAATTTGGAACCTTGGAGCTTTTGGAACATTCTGAGTTTTGAATTCCTCGAGACTTCCGTTGGTTGGACCTTTCCTTCCTTTTAGGTTGCTTTTACCTGTACCCTTAGGCATTGGAACCCTAGGCCGGCGTGTCCGTACACAATATCTCAAGTGTGTTTGGCTTCGCGCCAACCCGGGATGAGCCCGCAGAGTGCCTCCCGTGGACCCGTCGAACGGGTGTACGTCGTTGTTTCCTTTGCTCTGGAAACGTAAGTGCCCACAGCGGGCGAAGGTGGCCTAGGCCGTACGTCCGATGATTTTTGTCTCATCTTTGGAATTCCAAGCTGGCTCATGCCTTTACGTGACCGCAGCGGTCCAAGCAGCCAGCCAAATTGGCACGGCGGACGTGGCCGCAGCGGCCGAAGTTTGTTCAAGGTTCATTGGAACCTGTTGGAGCCTTTAGTTTTTCAGTTGATCCTCCTCCTCTCGCCATGTTCCCTTCTCCGGCTGGTCTCATAACCCTGTGGACGGCATCACGATGAGGGCCCAGACTATTCTACATCGAGAGATTCTTCATTTACATGGTTTATTGATTCTCGCCATCTCCCTTCTTCGCACCCGTTTCGCTATTCTCAACCCTACGTTTATGGACCACATCACTTCACCACATATTCAGTTGCAAATTCGAGGTTTGGACTCTGCGATTCGACAGGCGACCCAGGCTATCCACAATGGTGTGCATTATATCCAGGAACTCCTCACCACCTTTGGGATGATGCATGCTGCATGCCTTGAATTGCGACACCACTCAAGTGGATGCTGAACTACGTGGACGCTCGACCTTTCCTGACCCCCGCTTTCCATCTTTTCCTGCCTCTCCTCTGGGCCCGACTACGTCTAGAAGTACAACATCTACCAGTTCCATACCACCGAGTCCGCCACCGGGAACCCCCTCCATTCGCGCTTCACATCGGCCTGGTGTGATTAACCGATCCAGTACAGCACCATCACGCTCTAGGTCTCACCCTCGTTTGAACTCTAGGAATCTCTAGATACCTCGTTCGCTCACTCTTCCAAACACTTGTGAAAATGTCCTTCCTTTTATGTTGTCAACTTGTTCCCGTACTTTGAGACACCATTTCACAATTCTACACTTTTGTTTCGTGTGGCTCTCAGCTTTCTCAAGCCCTATACCTATACCTGACCTCGTTGAGCTCGCACTCCTCGCTCCTCTTCGTCGCCATGTCAATGCCACCGACGACGACCTTGGCTAGACCTACGGGATCGACCTCAATCACAGGCTTACCTGCTGCTGCTCATGAGGTCCTTCATCGTGAACTTCTTCATATACACTCTTCTTTACATTTGATTCTTCTGATCTTACGTGGACCTCTTGACTCCGTCACTCCCTCCATTGTGGACACGATCACCTGCCCTCGTCTCAGCGCCACCCTCCGCGCAATGGAGACCAGCATTGATCAGATTCGACGATCTACCCGCACTACACTGGTCTACGCCGATGAACTACGCTCCACTTTGGCCTTTCCACGTCCTATTGGCCACTCGGGTTCCTCTCCTACATCCTTTTCTTCACCCAGGCCTCCTCTTATCCTCTTTCCTTCTCCTCCTTCTCCACCTGTGACGCCGACGATGACTACTACCACGGATTCCTGTCCTCCTCAAGCTCCTCCTCCTTCCCTGACTCCTTCGATTCCATCTTCGACTTTGACGAGGAGGCCAAGTTCTCACTCACCCTCTCGGTCACGATCCCCTCCGCGACGATTCAGATTTTAGCTGATTTCTCACCCACCGAACCAACAACCTCTTACTTTGCAGAAAAAGCTCTCCTTCTCCTTTGGTTTTCTGTTTTATGATTGATCACTCATTTATGTAGTTTTTCTGTTGATCCTTTGATTTCCTCGCCGACTCTACTCCTATTTCTATTTCTCTCCTATGTTATCTTCGGCTTACTAGCAATTGCTCGTCTCGCTCCCGCGCTTCTTATTGCTTCTCCTGCCATGGCTTCGACATCTACACCACCTTGTGGTTTGGCACCGATCCATGGTCTTCCACCTCGCGCTCAGGCAATGCTACATCGTGAACTTCTTCTCGTACATGTCCTCTTCGCCCAGGTCCATGCCCTGCTCCACATACCACTCAGCATTCGCACCATTCCGTTCATGTCTCGGGTCACACACCCACAACTTCGAGCTCACCTTGAAGGTTTGGACAACACACTCCTTCTCGCTCTTCGGCTCAACCACACCGCTGTCCACTACACCCACGAGCTCCTGACCGCCATGGGCCTCCTTCATATTATTCAACAGAGCCCGGAACAACTTGAAGACGAACTTGAAGGCCGCACAGACTTCGGCGATCGTGCATCCCTCTCTACTCGATCTGACACGCCCCATCCCACTACGACCTCGTCGCGAACTACCAGGACCCACAACACCACTACCCGGATGCCTATTTCTCCCAGTCCTCTGCCTTCTCGCCATCTACCACGACCTCGTCTTCACATACGCTCGAGATCTCGCTCTCGCCCTCGCACGACCAGATCTTAGCTTTTCAGTTTCACCTCATACCTTGCCAGGCAGCTCAAAATGAACATCTTACAATGTGTATCGTTCTGTGTTTATTCTTGCTCTCTTTCCTGCAGTATCAGGTTTCCTTTTCCTTTCCTGTTGGCTCTAGGACTTGTGACACGCAATTTACATTGTGAATTCCTTTTCTCATTCTTCACTCACATTTGGGTTGTTACTACATCTGCTTCCAGCTCCGGGCGTTTTCTGACCTCATGACGAGTTCTTCTCTGGAATCTACTCGTCCTCATTCACGACGTGGTCATCGACGTGGTTCTCGCTCCAGGGATACCCGACCTCATATTGAAGAAGCTGATTACGGTGATGACGAGCCCACTCCCCTCCCTTCCACCAACCCACCACCCGGCACTGAAATTGCACGCGGCGTTCCAGATCCACCACCACATTCCGACCCCACCACGGGCGACTCTTCTCACCACAACATCACCACTTCCACCCCACCCTCAAACCCTCGTCCTCCCCAGTCTTCTCTCACTCGTTCACAATCTACTCCAGCTTTTCCACCCACTCCACCTGCACATCTTACCGCTCCATTCTTCCCACCACCACGCGTCCCAGCACCACGCCCACGTTTTCCTCAACCACGCGCCACGGGCTCACAGCCCCTCAATCCATATGGACAACGACCACGTCCCAGGCAGCCTTCCCCTCGCGACCATCGCACATCACGAACGACACGTTCACCACTTACACGCCACCATGGCCGTCACCATGACCGACGCCGTTCTCCCAGGAGCCGCTCTGCCCACTCTCGCCGACACCGTGGTCGTCGACACCGCTCACCTGCAGCTTCACGATCCCGGCGGGATGATCGTCACAGTCGCCGCTCACATTCTCGGCGACGCCATTCCCGCACACATCAACGTGAGCATCGGGAGCATCGTCACACAACCGATCCTCCCCCAGCACGTTCAGGTCTTACCATTCCAGCCATCATCGCGGCAGCGCACGGACAGACCCACCAGCACCTCACGCGGCTCCTCGCGCCACTGCCTCCTGCCTCCGTTCATCCTCCTTCTGATCGGGGCTCTTCGGCGACCTCCCCTTTGGTCCTACTACCTGGACCTGGCGATCGACCACCTCCACAACCTGCACCTCCTGATTCGGCTTCACGTCCTACCACTCCGCCACAAGCATTTCAACCTCAACCTCCTCCGCTCACTGCCCTCCCTGCTTCCGAGGCAGAAGAACTTCGTCAACTCCGCCTTGAATTTCAACAACAACAACAACAACAACAACAACAACAACAACAACAACAACAACATGCCGCTCATCACCTACAGCAACAGGCTCTCCTCCACTCACCCTTCAATCCTTTCTTTTCACCATTCCAGTTCTATTTTCCCACTCCCACAGCTCCACCGTCCCTTCCACCCACCGACCCTCCACCCACCATTGTTTCTCCCACAGCCCCAGAGCCAGCACCAGCTGTCACAGACCCCGTCGACCTTTCCATCTCCCTCTTCCCTACTCAAGCATCCACCCAGGCAGACTCGATTCACCGTTCTCCTCATCGCCCAACTCGACCAGAGACTCCCCCTCGGTTGTCTATCCAATGGTCTCGGCATCAACCTGACTTCACCACTTTGGAACATTCAGCCAAGCTGGGCTATTTCATGAACAAAATCCTGGAGGTCGCTATTGAGATTGGTCCTCAGAAACAGATTTGGACTACACCTTTTTGGCTTCACATTCGCCCTTCCGGTCCCACTGACCTTTGGTACGAGATTTTTGATCACAAATTTCAAGATTGGAGCGCCCTTCTCTCCATGGTGAATAAGTTCCGCAGGGCCCTTATTGATGACACCTTTCGACCCTGCAGCTGGGAAGAGTGTGAAGCTCCTGAGAATTTGCCTCGCACATTAGTGGACACCACCCTCCATGTGCTTGTCCGCTTTCTACCATTGCCCCTCCGGCGCATCCCTGTGGCTTCTTGGGGTGACCATCTGGGAGATTTTCTCACCGCCATAGCTCAAGTTCCTCAGATCCTTGAGAAGTCACCGGTGTTTCTCTGGGAAAACTTCCGTGCCATGACGCTCTTTTCCTGTTCAAGCTGGACTACCCCAAGACCGAATACTTTCAATGGGCTCCGTCTCAGGCTCTCTACACCTTCGTCCACAATTGCCTGAGCATTTCCCGTCGCGGCATCCTCACTGATGGTGTCATTCGTCCTAGCTCTTGGAAAGGTGAAGGTGGAAGCAATTTTCCCAGCCTTGGTTTCTATCGCCGATGTTGCTACCCGGGTCACAGCCACAACTCCGACAACCGGGTCAATCACGTGGCATGCATGTTTGGAGGCCGCACGGCCACCCGCCCATACTTCGTGGCTGGACAGTGCTTTTCCCGCCAGTTCCAACATTACGTGGTACGTTCGGGTGGACTCCCTTGCGATGCCATCGCCAGCCACTTCTACGATGTTGTGCGGAATCGTGTTGACCAGAGGTACAAGTGCCGCTCTTCTACCAGTCAAATTCAATATGCTGGATTGTTCATTCGGACAGATGAGCTACCCTCTTATGGCCTTCGACGTTCTGACATTCCTCTATGATTGCTTCATTCACATGTACTATATCCTCCTTGCAGCGCTGCGACAAACGGTCGCTATTTTCTGACGACGGAGTTCTCTTCCCACGAAGAAAAAAGAGCCAGGACGAAATATCTTTCCATCTTTTTGCCTTTTGCTTTTGGTCATGGTCGTACTTCCCTCTCTTTCCCAGATTTGCACTCTTGCATGCCTGATTCCTCCCTTCTCCTGCTTGGCTCAAGTTCATTTGGTATATTTGGATCACCTGATCGTCTTCCCCCTAGACAGTCTTGCTACACGATGGAGGCCTCTTTCTGGACTACGATGGAAACCTATCCCCAGCAGGCCCCACTTGGCATCATCAACATGCTGATCTCACGACGCACCTTAATGGATTCGATTTCTCGATCCTTGGAGGTACTCTATGAGATGCCATACACAACCGACTTCCCTCCAGGATTACCGGCTGATTTGGAACAAATTCTCCGGGATCTACATGCCTCTACAGAACGCTTGATGGACGAAGTTACTCGGACGAACCGGCTGCTACATCGTCTTGCCATGTTCCCTCCCCATGCTTTACCGACTCAACCTTGGCTTCCTGACGCTGCAGTACTACCACATTTCCCTCCATGTTATGGTCCGGCAGCACCTTCACCCGGGACTTCGTCGCCTTCCTAAGTCTTACCTCGGGCCATATGCCGCCCTCTTCCTCGCACACATCGATGTTAAAAAAGTGCGGTTTTTTCCTTTTTGCTGTGTTTTCACTAATGTTTTCTTCTTGTTCTTTTCTTTGAGTCTACCAATCACCGGGTTTCCTCACTCCTCTCCCACTACCGCAGCCTTTTATTTGGATCGCCGCCCTGGGTTGACCTTCCTCCTACTCTTCCTGACCTCATGGATCCTCCCCCTACGGGTCTTCTGGCTGGTTCTACGGCTCCACCACCACGAGAAGCTGTATTCAACCCTTACCGCCTACCTGTCAGCCCACCACCTGGCAATATCCGTCCTCAGCCACACCGACAACCTGAACTCCTATGGCTTCACTGGATGGTTTGCCTTGCGGCCTGGACAGCTGAGGCACTTTGCGCCCACCCGATGATGTCTCAAAAAGTACCACCTGACCAACACTTTGAGACCATTTCAGCCCGGAACATTTATATTCAGACACGTCGCGCTGTCCACGAGTTCAACATTCTCCAACGTCGGATTGCCCGAGGAGTTTCCCTCCTTCAATATGTTGTACCTTCTCCGGACACAACTACCACCTTCGGTCTTTACCGCGTCAATCCCAATGGGAGGCTTACGCCAAAGTTATTTGCCAAGACTTGACGAACTATTGCATTCCAAGCTGGCTCTATGCCATTACGTGACCACAGATGCCTCCCGGGCGTGTGTGTGTGTGCGTGTGTGTGTAACCTTTGGAGTCACAAGGTTCCTGTTGGAGTGCTTCTGTCGATTTTTAAGAGGGGGGTGCCAGAGACCGTGCAAGTCTGGCACTAACAAAGACGCTTGCACTGGTCTGCGAAATCAAGCTGTTCCAATTCTGTGTTTTGCAGTAATCGTCTAGTGCTGTATTGTGGAGACCGTGACTACAGAACTTTTAGTGTTGGAGCTCACCCTGATTTCTTAGGTTTTTCACTTAGGCTGGCGTGTGGCAAACCACAACCAATTCAGTACGCAATTCAATAAGTGTGTGAACCGCCATCGCGCGCGAGGGGGAAGCCATTCTTTATGTGCTAACTTGTGTTGTCAGTGAGTCTGAGTTCATTTTGACTTGCGCACTTGACCAAACTTTACCCTCCTTGCTTCGCGCATCAGCGGTTCATGTTCGACGGCAGTCACATGACAAGTTGAAACTTGAAACCAAGTTGGGGTTTCGTTCCGTCGTGATCCACAGTTTGTCCTTAGGCTATTTTCAGGCCCACTGATTACTTACTTCAGGCACTGCATCTCTTAGTGTATAGGTTACTTACTTCAGGTGAGCAGAAACACAACTTCACGGCTGTTCTTCTGTGTCTGTCTCGACCTTAAACACCACCAACGGTGCGAATCAGCATTCATTCGGGATGATCACTTTGACTTGGGCATCTCGACAATTCTAAGACTGAACTGAACCCTCCGTTGGAAGGGACCTGTGTGTGTGCGCGCGTAAACCGCTATCGCGCGCGGTGAGTTGGAACTGTTTTCACGACCTGGTCTAAAGTACTTTTCATGAGTTTGAATTGCATTAGCAGTGCGGCCATCACGCAAACGCATGCCAACGAAGCTACGCGCGCTGGGAAACCGGCTCTGATCAACCTGGTATACTTGCGTGGTCATTGTGTCATTCAAACTGTTATTCTACTTTTTCAGGCTGCTTCAGATCAAACAGGCTGATGCTTTCTTGTCAACTGACGGTGTCACCCATACGCATGGCCGTTTGGAGGTTGTGGACTTGGGAGGTTAGCGACTTTCACACCCTTCAAACGTTCTTCACATCTGGATGCGCACTTCAGTGTCCTTTTGCAGGACTTAGTTTGCGTCAAAGCAGCAAAGCATCATTTCAGAGTAGACCATTCGCAACTCCACCTCCCATCGGTGCCGGCTTTATGTTTGCGTCAACAAAGTTTGTAAAGTGAAGTCTTTGTTTATGTCACAGATGAATGAACCAGTCACAAGCCTCATCAGTGCAAATCAGGAACATTTTTTGATAGGGATATGCTGTGACATGCTGTAAATGAACCACTACACTGCCCAATAAGGCTGGTGAATCAGATCAAGACGCAAAGGAGGAGCCTTGATTGTGTATGGTGCTTCATAAGCAGCCAGAATACGTCTTACTTGGTCAGGTGACAGAATAAAGAAAGTCAGTACGTTAGAAATGGCTGAAATTGTTTGCACTATTGGAACGGTTTCAATCAGGAATGGACTGGAAGATACACGTGGACGCTTGCATTCCTTGTTGCACGCAGCTGTGTACTTTGCCAGGAATACGCAGATGGCACAACTTTTTTCTTGACTACGAGCGCAGCTGTTCGGCGGAGGCGGGTGTAGAACTCAAGTGACGCACCATAAAAAGCGAGATTTGCCAGGAAGGAGGCTGAAGAGAAAGAGAGAGCTCAGAAGGAGTGGCTGATTTCTTTGCAGCCCTTTGCTTTGTTGAGCAGCATTTTCCGGCGTTGCCAAATTCACCAGCGGATCGTTGAAACGAGTTTTCTTATGATAACATTGTTTCGCTCGTCGGCTCTTGAGCAACTTTCACGAAGATCTGCAGAATCGAAACCTTTTTGTTGGCAGGATTTGGAAGCAGCAGCCTTAGTTGGCCGCAGCATGCAGAAGTCTTGAGATTGCAAGGTCCAAGCCACGAAGTTGTCCAAGCCACCTCAAGGTAAATCCGTTTGAAGGACACCCCACCTTTTATATCCTTTGAACCATTGCAGTATTGCTTCACTGCTTCCAGCAACAGGGTCGCCGTTCCAGATGCAAAAGTGGCATGCTGCGACTGCAGGTTCTCAATCCCCCGTTGGTTGGATCAACCCAATACGTTCGTTGGGCAGCGTTCCTGACCTGCGAGCGCCCTTGCCCGAAGAGAGGTTTGTTGGGTTTGCTAAAGGTGCCAATGACCTGACAACATAAGGAACGTCGGCGCTTCACTCCAAGGAATTGAGATCGCCTGCGCAGTTTTCACGTTCGATTCATTTTCGCAGTTGTTTTAGATTGTATTAAAGATTCCTCACTGCACGCGCTTGCTTTCAAAAAATATGTTTCGCTTGAATCAAATTACCCCGGAAGGAGACCCCAAACAATGTGTGTGTGTGTGTGAGGTCTGGAGGTGTAGCAGCAGAAAGTCTAGAGATCTAGACGCAGAGAGGTGATGGTGGTGATGAAGGTGAAGATCGTGGTCATGGTGGCGGAGGCAGTGAGTGAGTGAGTGAGTGCGTGCGTGCGGGTGGGCGGGCGGGCGGGCGGGAGGGAGGGAGGGAGGGCTACGAAATCTGCACTCCGAGGCTCGCAAAGCTCTGCGCCTGCTATGAAATCTGCACTTCGAGGGAGCGCTCCGATCCCTTGCACCTGCCACGAATAGCCGACTTTGGCCAACCAAAGCAGGAGGTTTCCTTTGCTCCTGCCACGAAAAGTGACCACCATGTCCGAAAATGCACAAGGCGCCACAACGAGAGCGCCGTCGCGAGAAGCGCCCGCAGCGGCCCACCAGATTTTGCGAGCTTGCTCAGTCGAAGTGCACTATTTCGACAGGCATCAGTGCGCAATACCTCGATTAGACACCGGTGTCTAACTACTACCGTAACAACCCCTAGTGTGACCACACTGCTTGAGAAAAGTCACCTCCAACCTCAGTTTCAACTTTCCCCCTTTGCTTGTAGTTCGGCGCTGCATTGGCACTTCAACTAATATGGAGTCCGGTGGCAAAGCTGGACGCATGTGCGACTTCAATAAACAATATCTGACACACCCTTTTCTTTCGCATAAGCCCACGCCAAAACGTTCAGCCGGTAGAAACCAGTCAGGAAACACTTCTCGGACCTCGCTGTATGGCTCCTGCTCCGCAAAAAGTTTGGCAAACCCAAAACAAATATCTTTAGGATAGGATAATCTTTGAGTATAGTTGTTCGCCACGAACCGTTGGCGTTCTTTCCTATCCATCCCGCTTTCGGCAGAGGCGTGGATCTTGCCTGGCAAAAGAACTGTCCGGGCCTCCACAGGATCCCTGGTGGATCGTCAGTTACGTACAGTTCTTAAAGCGCAAAAAGAACTCCCGCCGTAGCCACCATATCAAAGGCAACCCGGGTGCCACCGGCTACTCCATGATGGCAATAGCGTCGAAAAGAAGGGCAACGAGGAAAAACCTCAAATAAACACCAAGAAGTTGACTGCCTAGTGTCACGTTGTTGGCTCTCCCGTTTGGTGAGAAAGCACTCTCTGGCGGCGCTGCCTGGAGCAAAGGGGTCTTGGATGGTCTTGGGCCGTCGTCATCAGTCGCCCGACCCTTCGACCACGTCTCGCAATTTGGTCCAGCCAGGAAACCCAAGAGAATTCTTTTGCGTGGATCTAGCAAAATGTTTGCTCTGACAGACCCACAAAGACAATGTTTAGGATGAAGATCATTAAATTTCCACAAGAAATCAGGAGCAACGGGATTTTCAATGGGAATGGTTTGCCAACGTCCACTCCGAGGCCAATGGCAGAGGAAGAAAGCGATTGGCCCATGAATTGGAGGCGACGAGCAGGTGGGCTGTGGCTATGCAGCACAGACGGTTTTTCCAGATTGTTATGCCAGAAGTCAATTGTGCTATTGAAACTCATAGGCCTCTGACTGCGCTGGAGCTCCTATGCCAACAATTGCCACCGCCCCTTTACTTCACTTGCTGTGAGTTTGGTTTGAACGCGCAAAAATGATTCACAGTGGATGTCATATTTGTATCTTAGTGTATAGTGAATCCCATACTTTTGGAGTATGTCCAAGAGTCCTGCTAAAACGTTCTAAGTTATAGACTTGGAACATCGCAGAACAGAGAACTTAGTATATAAACTATATGTGATGGTAAATTCTATTTGGGTGTATGAAACCCTTTATGTTTTTGTGTGCATTCAGTGATGTTGCCAAAAGTTAGACGTTGTTTTTCTGTCAAAATTTGCAGTTCCTTTCAAGTAGTTGCTCGGGTGCATGTGTCCATTCTCCAACCTTAAACATAGAACGCGCAAGAAGCATGAACTTCAATCCAAACATGTGAATTCTGTTTGCTCAAACCTTTTGCTGGTCAAACTCTCTTGACACCTGTTGTCTCAAACGATGTCTTTGTCTGTCAAAATGTGTAGTGCCTTCCATGTATTTCCTCAGGTGTCCTTGGCATGCCTTAAACATGGACCACGCCGCAAGCGTGAAGCTTTGCGTGTGTGCAAACCTTAGCCAACCCCTCTTGACACCTGTTGCACCAAAGATAGCCCATACAAGTCAAAAGTTGCATGTCCTTGCAAGTATTTGTTCGGGTGCATGTGTTCATGACAAACCTTAACCATAGAACAAGTTGGAACATGTATATAGTTTGCCACAGCATGATCAACTTAAACATAGCAGAAACCTGGAACATGTTGCGCTAGCTGGTGGAACTTAGAACGATTTGAGTAATAGAACGAAGTCCTGCTTGGATGTTCTAAGTTGTGCTTCCCGATCGTGTTTTAACACTTTCTTATTTTGTGCAAATCAAGATATGTATTTATAAGTATATTGAGTAGGAACTTGAGCGGACATGCGATGTAATTTAAAAAATGCCAAGGCCAGAGCCAAAGCCCAGGAAGCGCGAGGACAAAGTGCCCCGACAATTGCAAGAAGAAGTGAAGGACGAGGTTGAGAAGGTTAAGACTGCCTGGAAGCTTGGCAGCATTCAAGTTGCTTTGTCTCGCCGTGCCACCAGGTACTGTAGCTGTATTCCGCAAAGCTCAATATATTTCTGCATATAGTAATATGCAATGACAAAGCATTATGAAGTCGGCTGCAAGTGCCAACTGCAACGAGATTCTGAGGAGGACATTGGACAGAGGGTCAGGACAGGACAAGAAAAAGACGCTTGGGGCACGCATGCAGAAGGAAAGAAGAAAGTAGAGAAAGAGAGGAGGGGAGGAAGGAAAGACCGCAGCAGAAACAGGCGGTTGGTCATAACCTACCACGCGAATTAGCGCTGAGCGGAGCGGAAATCCAGGTTTCAGAACATTGCGTTGGACTTTGGCGATAAGCTTCGTAGGTTGCGGTCAACAGTTTCCAGATTCCAAAACCGAGCTGGCCAGAGACCACTAAGCGGCTGTCTCGAGTCCTTCTAGCGCGAAAACTCTTGAACACTGCCAGGTCCAACTTCCCTAAATCGAGAGCTTGCGCCGCAGACTTCGGAGAACGATCTCAAGTGTTCATGGACCTGGTGATGCACATGATGCAATCATGTGACATTGATGATATTCATTCACCGCACGGCGCTTAACATCTCTACGTCATCATGCACATTGTATAGTTTTTTGTAGTCGCTCCATGTTCGATCCCCTTGAAACTGTACATTTTGAGGAGAAACAACTTACATTCAACAATACAATTGTATTTTTTATGTTCCATAATATATGTATATATTACATATTTCTTCATTCATCCCATGGTGCTTATCATCTCTAGGTCGAAAGACGGGGTAATTTCAATGAAGTATGCAATACTTGCATGGTCGACACAAGACCTAGAGGTGAAAGGTGCCAAATTTGCAGGCATTGTTGGTCATAAGTCGAACCCCCAAAAAAACGCGCTGCACAAATAGAGTCCTTACTAATGGTCACAACAAGACATGATGTAGAAACTACAAGTGCCATGCAGATATTGTAAATGAGAAAACTGTAAGCATTGCGGATACATGCTAAACCCAGGAAAATGTACAACTTCAAGGGCATCGAAAATTGCAATATTTACAATGCACATTGTTTACAATTTGGTTAGGCAACTCAGACGATAAACTTTACAATAAACATCCAGAGTCCTTCTCATTCGGTTACCAATCATCTGGAGTGGCTTGGACATGAATGAATGAATTACCTTTCCTTGCGCCCTCTCTTGAAACAAACGGCGCGGGCTGTTGTCGTCGCGACGCAGCCTGAATAACAGTTGCAACAGTTCAAGGCAAAACGTACTGTTTTTTTTGGCGTACGCCGCGGGAAGCGACTTCAAGCCCCCAACATGGGAAAGACTAGCGCCGCGTGAATGCAGCCTTGCGTCAACACTGCCCCAACCTATAGACCCTTCAAGCCCATCCATGAGCTTGAGGGGTTTGAAAACAATGACGTGGCAGCGCCGTGCAGCGCCGGGCTACTGCGACCATGCGACTTCTTGTGCAAGTCGCGTTGCGCTTTGGAGCACGCGTTGTGGTGAGGAAAAAACCGAAGAGGAAGGCCAAGGCGATACTTGCTCGCAAGTGGCAGCTCTTTGTCTCTGTTGATAAATATTCGATATGTAAATATTCATGATTTGACGAGAGCGCGTGGAGGTCATGAACGTTCCGGCGAGTCTGCAGTTCAAGTACTTGAAGGAGACAGAGTTGGGTTGGTTGGTGTGTGTGTGTGTGTGTGCGCGCTTGTACACCTTGGAATCACCGGTCACTGTTTGGTGTAAATCAGCAGGGGCACACGGCGTCCATGACCCACTGTGTCCAACGAAGCTACGGTCGTGGATGGGAAGGGAAGGCTGATCACCTTCCTGTACTTGCGAGTCTTACAATTAATTCCCTGCGGGCCCTGGTTCTAAAAGCAACAAGACAAGATCACCTGCCATTATATCGGTTCTCTACACTATTCCTGGTTTATTCAGACAGTTTTTTCACCCGGATTTTTCTACTCATTTGGCGGCCTTCGTGCGAACTCTAATCCCGAGTGTATGTGTGTGTGTGTCTGTCTAACCTTTGGAGTCAGTCGGTGCCTAGCGCTGTTCTTTTGATCCGGCTGGTATTTGAGGTCGGCAGATGCGCAGTGTGAAGAAAAGTGCTGATGCGCTCGACTCTCGCTCGGAGGAAACCACCGCCAGAGGAAACTGGCTCGTCCAAGTCAAGAAAGTGTTTTGCGAGAGCGAGGAGCCGCGGTAGCCACCTTGCACTTCTTTGGGCGGGGTGTCTGGGTCGGGCTCACTTCTTTACGGTTTCTTTGGGCTTGGTCAGGGCCTCAGTTATTTTTTTTGAGGGGACGGGGGTTGGTTTAGCTCCTTGAGTTTTCCCACGGCTTCACTTCTTTAGGTCTTTGGGCTCAGTTTAGGGGTTCTTCTTTAAGGGTGTGCTTCCGCTAGGGTTTCTGTGGGCCTTAGGGCTTCAGTTATTTAGGGTTTGCGTGGGTTCAGCGTTTTTGGCTTAGGCTTAGGCCTTCACTTCTTTAGGGTTTCTTTGGGCCTGGCATAAGTTTCTAGGGAATGGCTGTCAACCTGGCTCCCAAAAAAAGGCTTGCGGGTTACGCTTCCTTCCTCTGCGGGGTGACCCTTTTTCCGGAGCGCGCCAAGCGAAGCGTTCTTCTAAAAAAAGCAGGAGCGCTGCGTATCGTCGCAACTAATATACATCCGCACATATCCAGCGCGCGCGTTCTCACATCTGCGCGCTTGCACATCTTTGCGTTTCACATCTTGACAAGATAACCAGACTCGCGCATCTTCACATCTGCAACTTTCTCTCTCGATATGTACATAATAATCTGTCTGTCTATCTATCTACCTGTCTGTCTATCTATCAGTCTGATCTAATCTAATCTAACTAATCCAACCCAATGTTCTTTTATCTTATCTTTCCTTTCCTTGTCTTTCTCTTTCTCCAACTCGCAAGCCAGCCCTAAGAAATCCGGGCTTGCCGCATCTCTTGGCCCAACACGGCAGCCTGGTCGGGCCCACACCATCCGCCGGCTGTTCTGAGGCGGAGCGGAGAGCTTCTGACCCCTCGTCAAACGTCAGTGCCTTTCAGGCAGAAAGCTAATTTCCACTCACGCGCTCAAGTATCTGCCAGGCCCCTCCTTCGTGGACACGGGCTCCTTGCAGAAATCATCCGGCGGCTTCCTCTCACTACGACTTGTTGATGCTCCTCCGCTCAGGGTGCCCAACAAGAAAGGAACATCACTTGCAACAGGCTCCAACAAGGGTCTTAATTAAGCCTATTAAGCCTACCTCATGAAAAATCAAGAGCTAGTTGTAAACAGCAAAGGAGGGAGAACAACCGTTGGCTTTCGGAAAACAAGAAGGCAAGCAAGACTCGAGCACAAACGGGGCCCAAAACACCAAAGGGCGAGTCGAACCCTTAAGGCTTGTTCTCTGCACGGTTGCTTCCAATAATGCCAAATCAACATTAACAAGCGCACTGGCGCTCCTTCCAAGAAGAAGTCCTCCAAGCAGCGCCACAACAAAGGCAGAAACAGACCTCGACAAAGATCTCAAGGCTTCCCTCTTTCTTGCTTGCTTTCTGGCTTTTCTCTTTCATTCACTCTGTCTTTCTTTCTTTCTTTCTTTCTTTCTTTCTTTCTTTCTTTCTTTCTTTCTTTCTTTCTTTCTCTCTCTCTCTCTCTCTCTCTTTCTTCCTTTTTCTTTTTCTTTTCTTTCTGCACGCTGCCAACTTACAAATCCAAAACGGCAGGTTTTGACAACGAGGTTTCCATTCCTTTTCCTCTTGCTAGCAGACTATGTTTTCAGGCGGCCAGGCTTCTTACGGTGAGGTACGGTTCACTGGTTGGCCCTTTTTGCTGGGATTTCCCTCTGGGCCTTTGTTGCCACCTGACACACCTTGCTCGCTTCTCACGTCTTTCCCTTTCGCATCCTTCCACCTGTCCTCGTTTGCTCGCGCGCGCGGTGTCCGAATCACGCGCGTAAACTTTGGAAAGGCTATCTTCAGAGGTGTAAACAGCAGGGGACGGACCCACCTATAGTGTTGGTCTGCTAACAAAGCTGACAGCGCAGCGCAATGGTGGAGGCAGGGGCGCTCATCCCTGCGCCCGCTTTACATCATCTACTTCTCTTCAATTGTGAATGAAAATGGCGCCGCTGGCAGATGAGTTTGAGTCGTTTGACTGGATGTTTCTGATTAATTGAAACAATTTGGACTTCTGTATTGCCGTAGTCGCCGCAGTCCCTTTTTTTGAAGGTTTGTTCCGGGCTTGGCGCAATCCATTGTAAGAACTCAATCTTCAGAGTTCGCGATTGTATATTCAGTAGCTGTAGCTGGGTTGTCTTTGGGCTCTTTTGATTTAGCTGGGGTCACGCGGCCGTCACGAAAACGCACGCCAACCAAAAACTATGCAAGATGGTGGAAGTGGAAGACAGGTTGCAACTTTGGGCGCGTAAGTGTCGGAGGCCATTTCCAGCTTTGGTGAGGTTGGGCTGCATTGAATCGAGGTCACTTGGACTTGTAAATTTCTTAGACTCGACCCTACGGCTGGACACCACGCTGGCCTCTTAGGTTACAAAAGCCAGCCGGTGGGCTAGGCTGAAACTTTTCCTGCAAACGAAATGACTAATGGGGGTGCGGGGTGGGAGAGCAGGCCAAAGCGGCCCTTTTCATCAAAACCTTGTGGGGCTCACGCTTCATTATTGCGGAGGCGAGTTTGGAGTAGTTGGTGACGCAGAAGATGCAAGGTGAAGTTGCGGTTGCATCGTGCGCATTAGCAAGTCGTATGGGGTTACTTCCAAGATCGTCAACAAGGTGTTGAGAAAGGAAGGAGACTTTGCTGTCGCTTTCATCTTGTTCTTTTGCTTTCTTTCTGCTTTATTTTGCTTTCACGCTGCTTTCATTTCATTCTGCCTTCATTTTGCTTTCATGTGCTTGCGCAGCCGTGGGCTCTTGGCAGAGGCCCCGTCGACTGGCTCCACAAGTACGCAACTGAAACCAGAGGTTTTTGTTGACGTTTGATTTCTGCATATGCGAAAAAAGCCCAAGAACTCCCCCTATAGAGATAGGTTCTTGGAAGAGGCCACGTCGATTGGTTCAACAAGCGGACAGTTGAACCGGCGGTTCTGATGCTGCTTGATTTCTGAGCGGCCTCACAAAATCTATGTAGTCCACGCACTCCTGGAAAGTGTAGGATTCTCGTTGGTCGAGCATCCACAGCAAAGTCTGTACATGTCACGCTGGTTGTAAAATGCGCTTGCTTTCGTTCCCCTTCTCCAGCTCCACGCTTATTGTTTCTTCCGTTTGTGGTGTTCAAGTCGTACGCGCACCAATCTGTAGCGCGTGTGAAGCGGATGCCAGATGGTCAACAGTGAGTTTATTGCGAGGAGCTTCTGGAGAAGGCGACAGGGCCCATTGTGGAGGGGTACATTGATGAGGCTTTGCCCAACAAGACGTCGCGACGGTCATACCTGAGTGTTTGGTTTGCTATGGCTGCGCCACTGGACAAAAGTTGCCAGGCGTTCACGGCGTGGTTAGCTTTCGAGAGGGCTGAGGCAAGGCCGTTCAATTTGTGGAAGTTTGGCTGTTGCTTAGCATTGGGGCTCAAAATGTCAATATTTGGGCCAGCGCGCAACACGCCTAGCAGTCGGACATGTTTCTGTCCCCGTCGTTTCCGATCTACTTAGAGGTCTACTTAATACATTGATACACTACGATACACCAAAGTTCTGCAAGGTTGAACAGAAACCATATTATTTGCCATGATGTGCTGTGGGTGATTCCTGTGAGCGGTTGCCCCAGACCTTAGCGACCGCGGCTGCGTCCGCGGCCTTGATGCGCAGCAAACAAGTTCAACTATTTGCGCTATATAGGCAACAAACTAGACGACGGCTGGCCCGAGAGCGAGAAAGGTGATTGTCAAGCAATTCCGAGTAAGGAAATAGTTAAAAGCGAGATGTCCAAGAGCCATGACTTCTTTATACAATCTGTTATTGAGTAAGAAGTTGCGAAGAAATTAGATTAAACCATTAAGAGAAAAGATATGTAGAAAGAGAGAAAGAGAGGGCGGATGTGAAGGAGTGACAGTGTGGATGCGCAGGTGTGATATAGATGCGCAGATGCGTGGGTGTGTGGAGGTAGAGAGGTAGATCTGCGGATGCGAGCGTGTGAAGATGTAAATGTCCTGAGGTGAGGGCGTGTAGACGTAGATGCGCAGATGCAACGGCAGCGCAACGTTGTGGGTCAGGAGCGCCAACCTTGGTGCATTTCTCGCTGCGCAAGCACATGGACCGCCAACCGTCCCGCTCACCAGCGACACGCCGCGTTTACACCAGCATGTTTCGCGCTCCCCATGCAGTGGCACGGCGCCACGCAGACGCACTTTCCACCAAGGCCTCGCAAATCCGCATGGCGCTGCAACATCACGAACGTAATTTCGCCACACGGTCTGCCCACACAGTACAAGCAATCATATCACGCGATACCGCCAATCATCCCGCTCACCAGCGACGCGCCGCGTTTACACCAGCATGTTTCGCGCTCCCGGTGCCAATCATCCCGGCCCGCTCACCAGCGACACGCCGCGTTTACACCAGCATGTTTCGCGCTCCCCAGTGGCACGGCGCCACGCAAGCGCACTTCCCACCAAGGCCGCGCAAATTTAATCCGCATGGCGCTGCGACATCGCGGACGTAATTTCGCCACACGGTCTGCCCACACACTACAAGCAATCATATTAAATCACACGACGCCGCCAATCATCCGGCTCACCAGCGACACGCTGTTTACACCAGCATGTTTCGCGCTGCCCAGTGGCACGGCGCCACGCATATGCACTTTTCACCAAGGCCGCCAAGGCCGCGCAAATCCGCATGGCACTGCGACATCACGGACGAAATTTCGCCACACGGTCTGTCTGCCCACACACTACAAGCAATCATATCACACGATACCGCCAATCATCCCGCTCGCCCGCGACACCGCGTTTACACCAGCATGTTTCGCGCTCCCCAGTGGCACGGCGCCGCCAAGACCTCGCAAATCCGCATGGCACTGCGACATCGCGAACGTAATTCGCCACACGGTCTGCCCACACACTAGAAGCAATCAGATCACACTAGAAGCAAACACTTCTGAGTCCAGCTCCGCAACGCTGTTTCCCGCACTACATTTGCTACAAACTGGCCACTTCTGAGTCCAGCTCCAAAAAGCTCTTCCCGCACTACATTTGCACTACAAACTGGCCAGGTCTGAGTCCAGCTCCGAAAAGTTCTTTTCCCGCACAACAGTTGTACTACAAACTGGCCACTTCTGAGTCCAGCTCCGAAAAGCTCTTTCCCGCCCTACATTTGCACTACAAACTGGCCAGGTCTGAGTCCAGCTCCACAAGTGATGCGCCAAGTCTCCAAAACGAGCGTTTCGTACGAGACTTCCTCCAAAAAGTGAAGCGCCAAGTCTCCAAAACCAGCGTTTCGCACGAGACTTCCTCCAAAAGTGAAGCGCCAAGTCTCCAAAACGAGCGTTTCGTACGAGACTTCCTCCAAAAGTGAAACGCCAAGTCTCCAAAACAAGCGAAAAGTGAAGCGCCAAGTCTCCAAAACGAGCGTTTCGTACGAGACATCCTCCAAAAGTGAAGCGCCACAAGTCTCCAAAACGAGCGTTTCGTACGAGACGTCCTCCAAAGTGAAGCGCCAAGTCTCCAAAACGAGCGTTTCGTACGAGACTTCCTCCAAGAGTGAAGCGCCAAGTCTCCAAAACGAGCGTTTCGCACAAGACGTCCTCCAAAAGTGAAGCGCCGAGTCTACAAAACGAGCGTTTCGTACGAGACATCCTCCAAAAGTGAAACGCCAAGTCTCCAAAACGAGCGTTTCGTACGAGACGTCCTCCAAAAGGGAAGCGCCAAGTGTCCAAAACGAGCGTTTCGTTCGAGACGTCCTCCAAAAGTGAAGCGCGACCGATCCAAAACGCAATCTCACCTGCATTTCGCGCGCTCGGCACGCACGATCTCCGCAGAGGGTTGCGCGCGACCAATCCAAAATGCAATCTCACCTGCATATCGCGCCCTCGACACGCACGATCTCCACAGAGGGTTGCGCGCGACCAGTCTAATACGCAATCTCACCTGCATTTCGCGCCCTCGACGCGCACGATCTCCGCAGAGGGTTGCGCGCGACCAATCCAAAACGCAATCTCACCTGCATTTCGCGCCCTCGACGCGCACGATCTCCGCAGAGGGTTGCGCGCGACCAATCCAAAACGCAATCTCGCCTGCATTTCGCGCCCTCGACACGCGCGATCTCCACAGAGGGTTGCGCACGACCAATCCAAAACGCAATCTCGCCTGCATTTCGCGCGTTGCGCCGGACCAGGCAAAAAAGTAATCTCACCTGCATTTCGCGCCCTCGACACGCACGATCTCCGCAGAGGGTTGCGTTTCGAGGTGCCCCGACGGCGCCGCCCCCGGCCTTAAGAGAGAAAGAAAAGAAGAGCGACAGGATACGCAGATGTGAGATGCGCGGATGTGAAGATGTGAAGATGTAGATGTGCAGATGATGTGAAGATGTGACGATGTAGATGTACAGATGTGAAGATGCGCAGATGTGAAGATGTGAAGATGAGCAGAGATGTAGATGCGCAGATGTGAAGATGAGCAGAGATGTAGATGTGCAAATGTAGATGCGCAGATGTGAAGATGTGAAGATGAGCAGAGATGTTCATGCGCAGATGTGAAGATGAGCAGAAATGTAGATGTAGATGTGCAAATGTAGATGTACAGATGTGAAGATGTGAAGATGAGCAGAGATGTAGATGTGCAGATGTGAAGATGAGCAGAAATGTAGATGTGCAAATGTAGATGTGCAGATGTGAAGATGTGAAGATGTAGATGAGACGTAGTTCTACAGATACTTTTTTACGAAAAGCCCTTCGCAGACGCTCTCGGGAAAGGTCAACATATGTATATCATTGATTATCATTGTATATCGCAGGTGCCCCCACTCAATCACTCAATGCCGTGAACAGCTTTGGTTTACATTTTGTCAGAAGGAGTGGGAAACCAATCAGATGAAACACTCTATTGCGTTCATTCCTTACATCTCTTGGGGTCGGCCACCCAACTTTGCATAATGAAAGAACAAGGCGGTGTATTTCTAGTACAAGTTGAAATAGTATGAAATAGTTTGGAGTGCGCGCGCGAAAAGGATTTTAGGCCGCTCACCCCTGGAATTGCCCCCACGCATGTGTTGGCGATAATTAATGCAGATGCTTCACGATTGTTCCAAACATGTCATCATTATGAATCAGCGTATCATGTTTTCGATTGCCCATTGCGGAGCTGCGATGTTTGGTCCAAAGTCGCTGCGAGAGCAGATTATTCTTACGCGCCAGGATGCTGAGGGTTTGTACAATGATTTCAATGGCGGTGAAATCAGCGGGGAATCCATCGAGGTGCAACTTCAAGATATTTCAAGTGTAGTTTGCTCTTGAGGCGGCAGCGTATTTCGGTACTTCGCTCAGGTGCAGCTCCTGTCAGATTCAGAACCGCTTGGGCGCGCATGAAAATATGACAGTGTTCAGGATTGTGTTTCCTTGTCCTCAGAAAAGTTGTTTCCAACAGCTGAACCGTTGCCCGGCTCGCAGTTTGCCAGTATGGTCATCTTTTCTGGTAACCCGGCCAAGCTTTCTGAGAGGGGGGTGCAATGAAGCTGCAGGCTATGATCTCACTACTGTTTTCACTTTAAGGGTGACCTGCAACAAGCAAACGTATTGGCTCAAATTGTATATGATCTTGGGTTTGCTGTGGTGGACTTACTAACAATCATGGCAGTGACGTAGTGCGCAGTGCTTCAAAGCTATGGCAGAAGAACCGCCATCAGCCTGGGACTAAGGCTGTTGTTGTTGGTTGACGGATAGAATCCTCGAGTGGGAGACAGAAGAATTTGTAAAGAGAAGCCAATGTACCGACTCACTGACTTCTCATTTGACTTCTTGTTTTTACATCACGCAGACCCGTTTGCATTCTTTGGTGGGCGGTGGTCGTTTGGAGTTGGTGGCAGGCCAATTAGTTGGATTCCTTGTTCTTCACGCGTTGTTTCCATTTGCTGTTCTTTGGCAGCACCGGTAGTATCCGGCAGTAGATAATTAGTACTGTACAGCGCCTTGTGTTTGCAGATTTCATTGCAGAGAAGGGGCGCGGTTTGTTGAGGGCATCGGAGACCGAAGCTGGAGGAGAGTGGTGCTTCAAACTTCAAACCAGGAGGAACTTTGCTGGTTGGGAAGAAAATGTTGCTGCCCTTCGGATGAGCGATGATGTGAGATTTGGTCGGCGCTAATTGCACTGATGGACATTGTTTCCTCAGCTTTGAAGTTGTTGAGGTTTGCCAAAGAAGTTTTGTTGTTGCCAGAGCGTTACTGGGGCGCACATGGATGGTGCACTGCATACTTGCCGCACTGAGACCCAAGGGACGGGTGGCGCGTTGTTGAGACAACATGAATGATGTTTTATTATCCGTTTGGAACACAAAACATGGGCGGCAATACCCTAGTCTCTCCTTGGTGGCCAACAATAGGGTAGAGCGTTTCGGGTCCTTTGTTCTTTGCTGTTCTGCTGTTTGTACTGTTAGTGTCAACATGGAGCATAGCCTCATGGCACCACGCATACATACCGATATGCAGTGGCTCGAGAGTTGAAAAGGATCGGCCGCGATTCTTGTGATGGTAGCGGACCCCATCCCAGGGCGATGATGCTACCAGGGTTGAAAGCCATGGCATGGTTCCTGGCAGTGGCAATGATGCCACAGGAGCACTGCGGAAAGGAAGCCTGCACCTATGTTCGTCAGGGTGACTGGCGGGAGACAAAGCAGATGACCGCTGGCTTCGAGGAAGCAAATTCGAGTTGCGCTACTGGGTTTGAGTCCCATGGAGCTTGGTTTGAGGCCGAGTTGACAGGTTGCTTCACTGGCAGCGTGGACGAAGAGACAGAACAAGGGTTCGAGGCCTTTGGACACCATGTTGGTGATTGCAGTGCTTGGAGACGGAAGACCGTGGAGCACGAGAAGGACTATGAGCTTGACAAGTGGACATTGATTGTTGAGCAGTTGAAAGCATTGAGCATTGTTGACCGGTTGAACATTGATGCATTGCGCAGCAGTTGTCGCATTGCTGGTACATTGATCGGTGGAACATTGAGCAACATTGCAAGTCGGTTGAGCTTGGCTGGCAGGTTGAACAGCTGGGTTGAGATCGAAGAGACAGATGGTCAGGTGGCACATGAGAACACAGGACATCTGGTGAATCAATCCATCGGTGAAAAGCTTGATCAGGAGCATGGGCAAGAGACAGACAGCATGGCAGTGTACACGTTGGATGAAGAGAGGATGTGCTTGACATTTGAAGACAAGCGCAAGACGGACTGGGAAGGTTCTACTCAGGAGTTTGGTGCATTGCAGTTGATGAACAAAACGGTTCAAGCATTGTTCCAACAAGTTAACAAGTTGCTACAACAGGTTCCTGATGCAGGTACGGTTCAAAAGCTTGCAGAAGCTTTCTCGCAAAGGCTATGGCAGGAAATGAGCATGATAAGAAGCTGGACTGCATGGACGATCAGTCTAATAGCAGCTTGGTTGATGAGCCACTTGAGCCGGTGCAAACACAGACAATCGAGAACAGAGAGGAAGGTTTTTGCAAGAACAAAACAAGTGAGACGCAGACAGTTGCGCGCATCGTTGTTTGCAAGTTGGTTGCGTTGTGGCAGAGCAATGGATCAAGAGATGTTCTTGAAGATGGCCGCAATGACAGAAGCAGCAACGAAGGCAGCAACCGCAGCAGAAACAGCATTGGCTTCTTTAGCTGGTGGATCAGGTGGAGCAAGTTCGAGTTCGAGCAGCATGCAAACAGGATTGCAGGCAGCATCAAAGATCTTGCGAAATCCAGAGCCTTACGACGGTTCAGATCCGCACAGCTTCATGACTTGGAAGTTTGTTTTTACATCCTGGTTGAATTTCGGGGTGCCAAAGTTCAAAAAGCGTTGTTGGAAAAGGTTGAACAGCTTGATACGGTGCCAAGCATGTCAGATTACAGCACAGAAGAACAAGCATTGAGCATCAAGTTGGTTTCCATTCTGACTAGCTACATGAGAGGAAAATGCCTCAACATGGTTCAGGCAGAGAAGTCGACACAAGACGGATTCAAGTTGTGGAAGTTGTTGCGTCAAGAGTTTTTGCCTTCAGATCCTTGGCAGTGGCACAAGCGTTGGCAAGCTATCCAGCATTCCCAAAGGACAAGAGTGTGTTGGAATGCATTGTTCAGTATGAACGACTGGTGCAAGAGTTTGAGACATTGAGTTCCACAACATATCCTCAGGAGTTGAAGATTGCAACATTGATTCGTTGTGCAGAGAGCAAGTTGCGTGAACACTTGACTTTGACGATAACTGAAAGCAGCAGCTATCAGAATGTCCGAGAAACCATGTTGTCTCATGAACAAGCCTCAAAGACATGGAATCAAGAATCCATTCTTCGCAGCCTGACGGTGAAGACAGGACACAGGCGGTCCCGCGCCCATGGAGATCGACCGCATTGAAGACAAAGGAAAAGGAAAAGGCAAGAGCGAGAGCAAAGGCAAGGGCAACAAAGGTAAAGGGAAGTTCAAAGGAAAAGGTAAGAGCAAAGGAAAGAAAGGAAGCAAAGGAAAGCAGAAAGGCAAGAATGGTGGTAAGGGCAAGAACATTGACCAGAATCAATGTCGCATCTGCAGAGGTTTTGGCCATTGGTCCCAGCGCTTTGCGAGCCTCGAAGTAAAGATTTTGTGGCAGGCGCAGCGCTTTGGACATGGTGGTGATCTTTGAGGCGCTCTGATTTCGCGAGAAGCGCAGTGAATCGCGACTTTGGAACATGTGATTCGTTTGCAGATTTCGCGCAGGCGCAGCGCTTTGTGGACCTTGACGTGTGGCGCGCGCAGCACTTTGCGAACCTCGAAGTGCAGATTTCGTGGCAGACGCAGCATTTGGCGAACCTTGAAGTGCAGTTTTCGTAGCAGGCGCCATGCTTTGCGGACCTTGAAGTGCAGATTTCGTAGCAGGCGCAACGCTTTGTGAACCTCGAAGTGCAGATTCCGTGACAGGCGCAGCGCTTAATGCCTTGAAGCGCAGATTTCGGGGCAGGCGCAGGACCTTGTGAACCTCGGACCTCGAAATTAAATGCAGATTTCGTAGCAGGCGCAGAGCTTTGCGAGCCTCGGAGTGCAGATTTCGTAGCAGGCACAGCGCTTTAACCTCGAAGTGTAGATTTCGTGGCAGGCGCAGCACTTTGTGAACAGATTTCGTGGCAGGCGCAGCGCCTTCTAACCTCGGACCTTGAAGTGCAGATGTTGTAGCAGGCGCAATGCTTTGCGAGCCTCGGGGTGCAGATTTCATGGCAGGCGCAGCGCTTTGCGAGCCTCGGAGTGCAGACGTGGCAGGCGCAGCAAAGATTTTGTGGCAGGCGCAGCACTTTGGACATGGTGATCTTTGAGGCGCTCTGATTTCGTGAGAAGTGCAGTGAATCGTGACTTTTGGACATGTGGTTCGTTTGCAGATTTCGTGGCAGGCGCAGTGGTTTGTGGACCTTGAAGTGCAGATTTCGCGCCAGGCGCAGCGCTTTGGGGACCTTGAAGTGTGGCGCGCGCAGCGCTTCGTGAACCTCGAAGCGCAGATTTCGTGGCAGACGCAGCATTTCGCGAACCTCGAAGTGCAGATTTCGTGGCAGGCGCAATGCTTTGTTGACCTTGAAGTGCAGATTTCGTAGCAGGCACAACGCTTTAACCTCGAAGTGTAGATTTCTTCGTGGCAGGCGCAGCACTTTGTGAACCTCGAAGTGCAGATTTCGTGGCAGGCACAGCGCTTTGTGAACAGATTTTGTGACAGGCGCAGCGCTTAATGCCTTGAAGCGCAGATTTCGTGGCAGGCGCAGCACCTTGTGAACCTCGGACCTCGAAGTGCAGATTTCGTGTCAGACGCAGAGCTTTGCGAGCCTCGGAGTGCAGATTTCGTGGCAGGCGCAGCGCTTTGCGCAGATTTCGTGGCAGGCGCAGCACTTTGTGAGCCTCGAAGTATAGATTTTGTGGCAGGCGCAATGCTTTGGACATGGTGGTGATCTTTGAGGCGCTCTGATTTCGTGAGAAGTGCAGTGAACCGTGACTTTTGGACATGTGGTTCGTTTGCAGATTTCGTGGCAGGCACAGTACTTTGTGGACTTTGAAGTGCAGATTAATTACGCGGCAGGCGCAGCACTTTGTGAACCTCGAAGTGCAGATTTCGTGGCAGGCAGCAGATTTCGTAGCAGGCGCAGCGCTTTGGGAGCCTCGGAGAGCAGACGTGGCAGGCGCAGCACTTTGTGAGCCTCGAAGTAAAGATTTTGTGGCAGGCAGAGCGCTTTGGTGATCTTTGAGGCGCTCTGATTTCGTGACAGGTCCAGTGAATCGTGACTTTTGGACATGTGGTTCGTTTGCAGATTTCGTGGCAGGCGCAGTGCTTTGTGGACCTTGAAGTGCAGATTTTGGCAGGCGCAGCACTTTGTGGACATTGAAGTGTGGTGCGCGCAGCACTTTGTGAACCTCGAAGTGCAGATTTCGTGGCAGACGCAGCATTTTGCGAAGCTCGAAGTGCAGATTTCGTAGAAGGCGCAGGGCTTTGTGGACCTTGAAGTGCAGATTTCGTGCCAGGCACAACACCTTGCGAACCTCGAGGCGCAGATTTCGTGGCAGGCGCAGCGCTTTGTGAACCTCGAAGTGCAGATTTCCTAGCAGGCGCAGCGCTTTGTGAACCTCGACGTGCAGATTTTGCGGCAGGCGCAGCAACTTGTGAACCTCGAAGCGCAGATTTCCTGGCAGGCACAGCGC